AGAGAGAGAGAGAGAGAATTACATCTCGTCAGTCATTTCATTTTGCCTTCACGTAGCCGTATATAAATTAAAATTTCATTAAAAATTTAAATTCTCTCTTAAAATGTGCTCGGTAATTATTCCATTTTTACCGAGAGTCCGGGGGGAGGGGTTTTATTTTGCCGAAATAATAATGCAAAAGCTACTGAATTCATTTTGCGCGAGAGCTCGTTTATGGATTAGAGCCGGAGTAAGACCGGAATTTTCCTCCGACTGCCCCGGCCATTGTCGAAGCTGCACACCGACACGCTGATAATCCCTTCTCTTCGCGTGTCGTAGGGTCCGGTTACATGCCCAACCGTTTGAGAGCTTATACTTTACCTTGTACGTATTGGCGTAACTGGTCGCAACTGGAGCGTGCGCGTATGGTGCGATCGCCGCTATGCCATGACCCAAGCCGTAGCCGTAATCACCATAGCCGTAACCGCCGCCGTAGAGCCCTCCGTATCCGGAGTAGAGGCCGGCAGATGCGTAGGCGACGGTGACGAGAAGGATAATCTGCAGTCAAGTGTAGATACGCGTGAAAAATGGGCCGGCTTAAAAATGTATTGTGCCTTGTGGCTTTTTTATCAATAAACGTAGTTTAGATTAAATATATAATATTGTTTACAGCGCTGATTCTCATTAGTTATATTAGTGTTGATTTTTATCACATCCGAGAATCTTTTTTTCTATTAATATTTAAAAATGTATTACACTTATTATTACAATTTTTATATTTACAATGAAATTATGAAAACTTGCAGATTACTCTAAATCACGTTTAAAAATAATTTACCGGCGATTTAAAAATGGATAACAAATTATTTAAATGAATAGGTAGGAGCATGCTGTAATAAAAATGTAATTAAGAAGTAATGATAAAAATCTCTCTCTTTTTTTTATGTAATTACTTTAAACATTCATGATTATTCATGTAAAGTTTGTGATGTAGAGATTAGTCGTTCCGTGAATAAAAAGTTAATTTTATTTGTACTATCACTCGTTTTATCTATACTCTTAATAAAACTTTAATTTTTATTTACAGAACAACTAATCTCTGTATCGCAGTGAAACATTACATAAATTATTTTAAATAATTAAAATACTTATTTTAAAAAAATTGAGATTTTCATCATTATTTTAATTACATTTCTATTAAAATACATTTATATTTTATATTTAAAATAATTTTTATTCTGGTTCTAAATCATCGCAAAATTTTTATATTACTTTTGAATGCAATCTAAAATAATCTATAATTTCTTAATTGTAAATAAAATAGATATTTCCTTAGGACAGCTTTTACACATAAATCGCGACGAAAATTTCGAAAGAAAACTCGATATATAACTTTATACATCGATTCAGGAAACGATTCAGGAAACATTTGCAAAATTAAACTCGCAACTTCATAAAATCAGAGTGTATTTTACTTTTATAAGCAAAAAGTGCGCAGATAAGAATTTGAGAATAATTTTCTTCCAAATGTCGTCTTTCAAAAATAAAAAGGAAACTGAGAAAAGATATGTAAACGTAAAGAAGAATGAATATAATATACGAGTATGAGATAAATAAAGCAGCGTATTCCCAGAAAGCTCTTTTGCCGCCAATTGCTTATGGTAATGGATGTCTCTATGCGAGATTATCCTAAATGAGGATGCGAAGCTTCTAAGCGAGTGATTCATGTCGTCGCGCATAGCCTTCGGCTTTATTTACGCATATCCAGGATGATTTCAAGCGCGTATCTATTCATACGTTATGAATGAAACGAGCGTATCCCGGCGCGATAAAATCGTGCCTGCGGCAGTAAGTAAAGTTCACAGCAAATGTTACCTCGGATCCGAACATTTCTCACGGTATTGCGACTCAATCCTCTCCTCCTCTCCTTATAGCTTGAGATAAGTCTTATCTCTGGATAAAAGCAAAGTTACAAGAAAGAAGAGAGAAAGGGAGGGAGAGAAAGAGAGAGAAACAAGTGTCATTTTCGAAATATGAACGTTTTTACATCTCACGATATTTTATTCCTGGAACGCGATCCCACCCTCGACGATCGCACTTTCTTTTAAGATACGAACGAGAGAATTGCAAAATTTAAAAGAGATCCGTTTTAAAAACCCAAGGAATTATATATAAAGTTACGTAGATATGGGGGATATCCAGTGGATTCCCGTGGCATCCGGGAAAAACTACGTGGAGATATCTATGCACTCCCCCACGAAGAAAAGTTTCGCCAGCGTTCAGACCGCCCCGAGTGGCGCGAGAGAGTGGTTCACTCACCAGCTTAAACATGTTGCTCCAAGTGCTTGCGATCTCTCGTCGGTACTGTGGACTGACTACATCTCCTGTACCCTGTCAGATCACTTATATATCCCCCGGCGGATTGTTTTTGCTCGACACTCGCGCGTCAAGATTCAAGGGGGAGAGATGCGGAAAAAAAGTTTTCCCTGCCAATCGCGGACGAGGCGAATTCGTGAAGCGAGGTAAACGGCGTGGGGCCCGATCCGCCGATAGTTGTGGGGTGGGGTGGGTCGCCGGGCCCCGGGACTCGTTACGCGTTCACCTAGATCCTAGATCCTTTGCGGTGCCGTGGATGACGTGCCGCGTGGTCTCACCGCGACGTTCGCACGAAGGACGAAACCATTATCGGCCACAGGCGGGAGAAAGGAGAAGGAAAAAAAAGAAGTATCGGTACGTTCGATTCGCATCGTGAGAAAAAGCGCGTCCATGCCACCTTGAGCGCACACGCGCACGAACGAGCCG